AACATCGCCCAAAATGTGGGTGTCGGAGCATAGATCGGAAACACTCGGTTGTTTGAGAAGCCAAGCTCCTAACAGAGCCGGCTACAATGAAATAGCCTGCCCAATGTTGACCCTAGCGTAACCCCCGCGTTCTCACGCTATCCTGACGACTTTTCTCATGTTAAAGGAAATAAAAATTGTTTAATTTTACACTAGAGGGCGCCTGCTCCTAAATGAGTTAAACAAACAAATTGAAGAACAAATATTGATACTGATTATTCGACACTCGGTCTAGCTGTTTGCGCACAAAGGCGGCTTTTAGGTCACAAAAGACGTGGTAATTGGGTTCTTGTGTGATCACTGAACACTTTTCATACTCTTTTTTTTTTACTTATTTGGTGATACGGAATTCACGTGTGGGCCAACAGCTCACTCAATTTCGAATCTCATTCATATAAACTGTTTATTTACGTATATTTGATTTGAAATGAACTTTACGAAGTGCATTTGTGAACCGGTTCAGCGCATGACGGAGACCCTTAAGGCTGCATACATTCGTATTTCGTCATATTTGTACGAGAGTATTATTTCGTTGCAGTTGTATTAGTTCGAGATGTCAAAGCTTCTTCGTCAAAACAGTACTTTCAAGTGGGAACAGCGGTTTTATGTTTGTAGATAAAAATAGAAAAGTATGTATTCTCAAAGTACCCAAATTTTTGGATTGGATAGATACTATATCTAAATATTAAACATATCGACGCTTGAAAGACAAACGTGACTAAGCGACAATAACTGCTTTGTACATAAATGATAGGCAATAACCATATTCGATGCGCAAAAAATATATATTTCTAAGTCTATTAAAATAATTTCAATCCTACAGCTAGATTCGTTAAAATAGAATTTTTTTCAGGTATTTCAACTTTAAATTAGTCTACTGTAAAGTTCACGCATTGTCGCTTAGTCACGTTTGCCTTTCAAGCGTCGTTATAGTATGATGCCTGCCTTAGTATATCAGAGGAAGTGTGAAAGTAGCCCCGGTAAGCAACAAATCAAAGAGCGGACGGTTAGCGTGGTATGGACATGTGATGAGTAGAAAGAAGATGCATGTGACTAGGAGATGTATGGAAATGGTAGTACAAGGTAGAGGGGGAGAGGGCGACCGAAGAAGACATGGATGGAGTGTGTGAATGACGATATGAGAGAGAGAGGAGTGAGTGTTGAGATGACGGCTGATAGAAGAGAATGAAAGGGAAAAATTAGATGTGCCGACCCCACCTAGTGGGATAAAGTGGAGAAAAAGGAGAAGATGATGCCTGCCTTGGTTTCCTCTGAGATCCTGTCCCTATTTTCCTATCAACAGTCGTTCATCATCAGTTATCAGTCAAAACAATTCTCAACTATTCTCCTATCTAGCTCTCTAATATCGAAGAGCCAGATTGGTTTTTTAGCTATTTCTACAAAACAATGATATGGCTTAGGCGGCTGTCGGGACACAATTGAGAGTTCACATTTGTGCATTAAGGCAGCTTTCACGTTTGATTCTCTAGAGACTCTGATATACAGTAAACATCACGTGGGTCGTGAGATTATCCACCCATCTACTGGAATACAATAAACAGTTTTACGTACCTTGTCGCATTTAGTTAATGCGCAGTCCATTACAATCGTTTCGTCCAAAGATTTATGTGTTTTCCCAACATCTAGATTTCTATAATCACCACAAATCATTTTGTTTAGTGTAAAACGCATTATAATATTGTATTCTCGTTAAATTTCAATCTATGAAAATGATGAATGGCAGATAATAAATTTAACGTCTTCATTCAAACAGTAATGTTTGCCAAATGATGTATCTACGTCTTGTTCATTAATGTGTTTTGTTAATATAATTGTTGCGTTTTGAATTTAATGCCAAGTTTATTGCTTAATTTGCGGAGAGCGCTAGCTGACGTATTATTGGGAGAAGGGAGATGGTTGAATTCATGAAGCCACTTGGTAATATTAGGACACTGCTTCGTGCTCTTAGCTCGGATCCAGACCCGCTCTTTAAATCTAACTACATATTTCTCAACAGTATTTCACTTGACTTTCAATCGCTTCCGATTATCCGGGTGATGGAAGGCCGGCTATCCTCAACCCACGCTGGTTCTGACCCAGAGGGGTATTCCGTAGGAATTCCATTCTAACCGGCGCCATCTAGGCGGTCTTCGGACAGCCTGTCGATCGAGAGGGCTGGTGGTCGTGGCGTCGAGGACCGCCGGTCCGGCGTCCCGAGGGGGAGGGTGATGGGAGAGATGTGCTCCGCACTAAGCGCTTCACTTTCCCCCCTTTGCCTTTTCATGAGTTCTGTCTCATGCGAGGTTTGGATGCTGGTTGTTGAGCGACAGGATGTTTGAGTCGGTTCAACTCCGACATGCCCCGGCCTCCATCCCACCGCACGGGTACGTACCGTCCTGTCTATTTCTCCCGTGAACAAATCCAGTGTACCAATTACAAGAATGAGTCGTCAGTTACGGAATATAATAATTGAGACTGATCTCATATCTCAAGTTTTGTGCATTCTCGCTTGTGATGTCCATGGGCCCCACTTACCCCTAAATCAGGCTCTGAGCTCAACTAGTCGCATAATAATAGGATTTTTTTTGTAAATATCAACTTTTAAAGTAAGTTGTTTATATCTAAATTAGCCTTCAACTTTAACTGCTATTCCTAACAATAATTTCCAACTTAAATAATAATTCTTTATGATTGATTATGTTGTGAAATTTTTTAAAATATTCGCGCTTTTATTTCATTAATTAATCATTACTTTTAAAATCTACTTTTTATTCATATTTCAATATAAGAATTTAAAAGGCGCTATGTGAAAATAGCAACAAAACAGGTTAATGTTACGTTATATAACCAAACGCTAAAAACGCTTTTCCGGCACAAGAACCTATCTACATGCTTCATAACAAAATGCTTAATCCAATATCCCAAATCGAATGAAATAATCAAAATGTGCGCACCCACATCCACGTGTCTCATAGACCATTATCCAAATCCAAGCGACTTACGTACACTAAGCAGATCTGATAACAATACATATCATTCGTGACTAAAGATGTAATCAAAGCCGCAGAATTTGAATGTAGGAGCCGATTTTAAGGTGAATTTAATATTATAATGTAATATGTTCTGTTATGAGCATTGCGAAACCGTTGGTTCAAATTTATAGCGTTGCTACTTCGCTCTTTGGTTTCATAGGGCCTAAAATATTAAAGTGTACATATTTAAATATATCCATATACATATAGATATGTAATGTAATAGATATACATTTAGATATGTAACTATACTTGAGACCTTAGTACTTATATCTCAAGGTGGGTGGCGTATTTACGTTGTAGATGTCTATGGACTCCAGTAACCACTTAACATCAGGTAAGCTCGTCCACCCACCCATCTAAGCAATAAAAAAAACATAAAATTCATCTGCTCGTTGACTCGGTGGTGCAGCAGATAACGGCCCTGACCGTTGCGCCAAGGGTCATGGGTTCGATTCCCGTATCGGACGAACATTGTGTGACAAACAGATTGGTTTGCTTATTAGCTTATTTATATAGCATCTGGGCGCTTATTACCTTACTTCATACGATTATTTATCTTACCGAGAACTTCACAATACGTGACCGACCGGTTGTTTATTATCTATATGTGTATATTTAAGCACTGCATTACTGCTTCACGGCAGAAATAGGTAGGTTGGTGGTACCTACCCGCGCGGACCCATAAGAGGTCCTACTACCAATAAAATAAATATACTCGTAATGGTTTGGTTAATAGAATTCTTTGTCAAAACACAATCAATATTTGGTATAATTTATCTTTATTCTTGTAACATTCCATTTCCAAGAAATCATTTGAAAATGAAGCTACCCTTTTTTTTTTTTCGGGTAGAGGGCCGAACCTCCTACGAGGTCCCCGCGCAAAAGAGGCGCGCGGGGTATGTGAGACTCAACGATCTGCATGGTGTTGTGAGCAGACCGCGGGCCCAAGGATTTTAGGACCCACCCACTAAACGACTCCCCTGCACTCTTACACCCGACGTCTGATCCCCTCCGAGGTCAGAACCCGGATGAGGTAGGGGGGTTACCGCGGTCAACACTACAACCAGACGATGCGGCTCACCCCAACGGACGCCCAGCCGACGGAGCCTTCGAGGCGAATCGAAGGCTCTGAAACATCGGCCGTCCTGGTACGGCGCCCGTCAGGCCGCCCAGACGGTGCCGCTGGTGTCCCGGAATACCCCGCTGAACCAGAACCAGCCTGCCGGGTCGGGACGCGATACACCGTCGACCGGTCGCTCTATTACTCCACGGCAGCGCGCTAGTGTTTTTTTTTTTAAATATGTGTCTCTGGAAAATATTTTGTTTTTTTATTATTATTTACTGCGGCTTTTGTAGTAAATTTAATTAGCCCGTACGGATATGCAGGTTGGTTGGTCTGTCTTAGGACCTATGAAACAAACATGTATGACTTTTAAGAAGTCGTCGTGGCCTAAAGGATAAGACGTCCGGTGCATTCGTGTTGAAGCGATGCACCGGTGTTCGAATCCCGCAGGCGGGTACCAATTTTTCTAATGAAATATGTACTCAACAAATGTTCACGATTGACTTCCACGGTGAAGGAATAACATCGTGTAATAAAAATCAAACCTGCAAAATTATAATTTGCGTAATTACTGGTGGTAGGACCTCTTGTGAGTCCGCGCGGATAGGTACCACCGCCCTGCTTATTTCTGCCGTGAAGCAGTAATGCGTTTCGGTTTGAAGGGTGGGGTAGCCGTTGTAACTATACTGAGACTTTAGAACTTGTATCTCAAGGTGGGTGGCGCGTCTACGTTGTAGATGTCTATGGGCTCCAGTAACCACTTAACATCAGGTGGGCTGTGAGNCTGCCTAAAAAGGCAAAAAAAAAAAAAAAAAAAAAAAAACAGCAGTTAAGAGCTTACAAAACATTTTCTCTTGTTTCAGACTCACCATCATCCTCATCCGTTCAGCTTTTAAGAAGAACGAAATTACACAGGTATCTAAGTAGATTGTTAATGATATTTATTTATGAATACTAAATTATATTGCATTGTGAAAGAAAATGTTTATAATTCGTTAATTTTAGATCAGATATTTGTACGTAATACACATACTTACATATATTTAATATACATACATTACCCTGGAAAAGACATTTCATATTTATCATACAAATATCTTTCCTTGGCGGGATTCGAACCCGCGACCCCCTTTTTAGTGACCAAGTCACTTACCACTACACCAGACTACTAACAACTACTAGACTACTACTAATTAATTTAAATTATAAGTTTGAACATTATTAAGTTTTGATTGCCAAAGACTATGGCTTCTATAGTCACTTATTTCGCCAAGGCTACGCTGTGGAAAAATAAATACTAAAGACAAACAATATTAATCTACTCTCAATTAGACCACAGACCTTAACAATAAACAATAGTATATTAGAATATGCGTGTGTGTGTGTGTGTGTGTGTCGAATATATGGTAGTATGTGTACCTAATGTTTTTCTTACCAATTTAATGAATTTTTTATGCGTAATTTAAAAAAAAATAGCATTCCGTACTCCTTCTCTGTAAGTGTAGAAAATTTCATACTCCTCCGTCCGCGCAATTTTCGTAAAAAGAGGTACAATAGTTTTGCTTCATGTATTAATATATACCTAGATACTAATCAGAACTCATTATCGAAACAATTACTTCGACATTGTAAAAGAAATAAAAAAATATTGCAAACGTCAAACTGATGATCATAAATCTAGATGAGATTTCAATAAAATAGTAATGAAAAATCATTAAAAGAACATTATATATATTGTCTGAATGGATTTTTTTATTCGTTGCGAATGTGTACATTTATTTTAATTGTATTCATTAAATTATGTGTAAACTTTAGGAATTCGAGATTTGCTATTTTTAAAATAACGTGCTCTGGGTATCAAGATACTGTGTCCGTTGCCGAAACGACGTAAGTACAAAGAAAAAGTTTTCACTTACTACGCTAGACGTAAACCACAAAATGTAACTGCTCCACAGTAAACATAGTGCTTCTTTTTTAAGGGATTTTATGACCTGGTAACTAAGACCTTTAAGTCATGTCTTATTTTAATTTATATTCTTATTTTTATGAAAAATGATAATATGGAGTGAAATCAAATGAAATGATAAGAGATGGTATGTGATGAAATATAATCTTAGTAAAATGGTGGTCGTTTACTGAAATTTTTTCAGTGGGCTTTTTGGAGGATCCCGAGAATATACGTCCAGCGACTTTGTTTCATTTTCCTACATTTGTGCACTTTCACAGTTATCAAATAGTTAATAAGCCACCGTTATTACACATTTAAACCTGAAGAAACACTAAACAGACAAAATAAAACAAATCACACTACTACTTCACTCCTGGCGTTCCCGCCAAAAAGTCCAGACGTAGTGCTTTTACGTCAGTGTTAAAAACCTACGTGTATATTTTTGCTATTTTACATTAATATCACAGCCCGCCATAAATTCACCAGGTCATTACCCATGACAGGAGACAAATGACATAACGGGCTAGCTCTCGCGTTCATTTGTCAATTGTGGATGTCAGCTGCCATGCGGCACTTTCTTTCATTTAAAAACTTCACGTCTCAATTATAAAGTTATTTACGATGCATTGTCGCAGTTATGCCGATGACTTCATTAACTGAAGGACCGTTTTAAAAACCCTTTCAAAGATTCTTTTGTTAGGGACTTATCGAAATGTCATAACGTCAAGACATAGTAACTGTAATTGCTTCAACTATCTGCTTATAACGAATTTCAAGTAATTCTGGTCTTAGTGCCGGTAAATCCCCGGATTGCCTAGCCCTAGAGAAACTTACTTTGGTTGTTGGCGGGAAAGAGCACACGGTCGACCACCCACGCGTTGTGCTGACCAAATAAAATCTCTGATACGTCTACGCCGAATTCAGATTATCATCATGAGGAAGGACACATCTTTCCGGCAAGTTCTCATAAACCACTTAAACAAAAGGTGAAGTGTTTGGGTCTCAATTAATAAAGGTGTTTTGCGGTCGTGTCCAAGGTCTTTCTGATTTCTGTCACAAAACAAGAATGCTTTCCATGTTGCTGTTAATGCAATGTTTTGTAATCGAAATAATCCCGGTCACCGTCCTCGTTGAACCCGTCGCTTGCGACGAAGGGCTCGACGAGCGAATTAACACATAGACACAGCCCACTGAGTTTCTCGCCGGATCTTCTCAGTGGGTCGCGTTTCCGATCCGGTGCTAGATTCCGCGAAGCACTGCTCTTGCTATGGTCAGTGTTAGCATCACTCCGGTTTGAGCCCCGTGAGCTCACCTACTAGTTAAGGTTACGCTAAAATAGCCTCTCAAGGCTATCAGCTTAGGCAGGAAAAAAAAAGAATAAATGTCTCGAAGGCAGCGGCAATTTCAAGCTGTGATGACCATGGATCTCTTGTACCCGTTTACCGGAACAGGCTTTTATATCCCATCACAGCTTGGTCATCGCAATCACCAACATCAGTCCACAGAAGTCCACTGCTGAACATGAGTCTCACCTAACACGACCGGTCCTGCCCTGCGAGCATCTAGCCGATTTCCGCGACCTTTAACAGGTTTTTTTATTGCTTAGTTAGATGGACGAACTCACAGTCTACCTGGTGTTAAGTGGTTACTGGAGCCCATAGACATCTACAACGTAAATGCGCCACCCACCTTGAGATAATTTCTAAGGTCTCAGTATAGTTACAACGGCTGCCCCACCCTTCAAACCGAAACGCATAACTGCTTCACGGCAGAAATAGGCAGGGTTATGAAACCTACCCGTGCGGACCCACAAGAGGTCCACCGTTCACCTCGTAGGAACTCTACTCACGCTGCATTCTCTATGGTCGACACTCAAGAACTTTTTGGCCTCAGCAGTCACGTGTTCTCCGAGCAATGTGCCCTGCCCTTCAACTACTCACTATCACTTTAACCTCGCAATCATTCTGGATATACAAGCTCTCTTCGTCATCATCATCATCGACGCCATCGCAATATACGGGTTACATACTCAAAAATAGCTATTTTCCCGTTTAAGGTATAATATTATACCAAAGCGGCTGCTGTTTTAGCTTTCGTCAAGAATAAGATTTAGATCGGCATAACTAATTTGCGACTGTACCCTAGATCCATACTACAGGATTTATGTGCTTACTAATCCAACCAATACCTTATAGGGAACCGTACCAAATACAAATTGAGTTACGACGATGGCTCGCTGATAATCTATGATTGTTGAATTGCGAATTTGAACTAATTAACTTTATGATAGAATGCATTTTTAATCACACATACATATCGATCGAACGGTTAGGGCATTTTGTAATCGGTGGAATTGGCTGATGAATGTCTTGTCAAAATGTCTAAATAAAACTAGTTGTATAGTTGTATAATCGGAGGCGCTGGAGGGACATTACGAGGAGTAAAATCCTGTCGAAATATGATTATATATATTTAACTTGTATTTAACAGTCTTGAGTAATTTATTTGTATCTGAATAAATTCTCAGACTAACCTACAGGCCACGGAATATTAAGTGAACAGCGGTGCAATATAAAATACCACATGAATGATGCCAACTTAAGAATTGAGCTGAAAGTCTCAATTACATAGTCTATTGACGGCTGCCTTACATTTAAATAATCATAACCTCTTCCCGATATAAATAGTCCAACTGATGGTACCTCCTAGCGTTCACAACCCTCCCTGCCGCTTTCTACCACTATTAAAGTCATCCATTGACGTCAATAATTACGTACGGTAATTGCTGATCATGAATACCTAAATTGCCGCATAAATGTCAACAAATATAATTGAGGCCATCATAGGAAAAGTGGCCTAATCCACATTTTTTTTATATTCAAGCTTATATGACGTATATTCGAATTTATTTAAAATATAAGAAATTCTGATGCAAAACCGGCCTATCCATAGTTTCACCCGTAGATAACAGACAGCTTTATAAACATTATTTTTGCGCGTATTGTTTGTTTGCTTACTCAAATTCAAATTCATGAAAATTCAAACCTAATTGCCTCCATACTAACTATAGTAGGAAGCTTAGGCCACTTTTGCGCTGATGGCCTCAATTGTGTTGTAAGTTAATTTTATGATAAATAGTACGTCAATCGTACTACTTACTACTATAAAATAGACACAGACAAGGACGCTCTCAAAAGCTTCCTGTATTGCAATTTTTCCATCTTACTCATTAACACGTCGAAAAGCTTCTCGTTAGGGTCGTTTCACACTGTGATACGTGCCGATTTTGTGTGCAATAACCTTAATCTAGTGCAGTTAAATATCTTCAGCACAATTAGTAGAAGGCTATCTATACTAATATTATAAAGCTGAAGGGTTTGTTTGTTTGAACGCGCTAATCTCAGGAACTATTGGTCCGATTTGAAAAATTCTTTCAGTGTTAGATAGCCCATTTATTGACAAAGGCTATACAAAATCACGGTAAGACCAATACAAGTGGAGCACCAATAAAGAATGTTTCAAAATATTTTCACTTTCTGCGTAAATTAAGTGGGGGGGTAAAATTTAGCGTTATGCCAAAGTAACTATTCCACGCGGACGGAGTCACGGGTAAAAGCTAGTTTTTAATAATCCGATGTATTAAAGTTTTTACTATGAGTAAATTGTAGACTTCATCGAAGTGATAGTGTGTTCTGTGCTTTGATAATATCAGTTGTCTGTTTGTGATGAGACTTGCGAATTATCGCGTTTTTCTGTATATTCCATTTAGCTAATATAAAGACATATTACAGTTAAACGACCAATTTCGTAGGAAATGTTTTTTTTTTGGTAATTGATCTAATAATCACATTGTAAGTTGGGACCCCGAAAAAGCACCTATGAGCTTTTTACATGCTCGTGCAAATAGTTAGTGTGAATGCGACTTTACATCTGCGGTAGGTAGCATGGTCGGTGGTCGAAATTTCTA